CTGGAGCATGATGCCCCAGGGAGGGCATAGAAGTTCCATGTCCCTTCCCCTTTACCTTGCCCTAAGTCTCTCTCTTCATCTACACCCTTTACAATATCCTTTATAATAAACTCGTAAGCATTAAGTGTTTCCCTGAGTTCTATGAGCTCTCTGAACCCAGTTCTCGTTTTTTTGTTTTTGTTTTTTTGAGACGAAGTTTTGCTCTTGTTGCCCAGGCTAGAGTGTGATGGTGTTTGGCTCACTGCAGCCTACACCTCTTGGGTTCAAGCAGTTCTCCTGCCTCAGCCTCCTGAGGAGCTGGGATTATAGGCATCTGCCACCATGCCCAGGTAATCTTTGTATTTTTAGTAGAGATAGGGTTTCACCACATTGGCCATGCTGGTCTCAAACTCTTGACCTCAGGTGATCCGCCCACCACGGTCTCCCAAAGTGCTAGGATTACAGGTGTGAGCCACCGTGCCCAGCCATTATTTTGGGTTTTTATGGGTGCTTCGTGATGTCACAATTCTGTCCCCCAGGATATAGGGCAGGACTCTCTCTGGGGAGGGTCTTAAGTCCCACAATCAAAAAGTCTGGGAAAGATTAGAGTCCTGGCTTAGGCCAGGTGAAAGGAGGGCAGGAGAAGGTCAGAGACCTGCCCCTGAGGCCTAACAAACTCAACATCATAACAAAAGACTAACAAGAGGGGAAAATCTATATCCTAACACCGCAGATGCTAAGCTCTTTCTTTATACCTTATCTCTGAACGCTGTTATCCTCATATTAGCGATGAGGTTTACAAAAGTAGGTAATTGTGCCGAAGGGAAGTGATACAATCTGCATTTGACAGCATCTAATTTAGTCCAGCTCTATCAATTGCTGAAGCCTACTTTATGACTACCTAAGAGCATGCACTTCCTGAGATAACCAAAGAAATAACAACAAACACCTACGTAACACTTACTATGTTATAGGCCAAACACTTTATATTAACTCATTTAATCCTTACAGCAGCTCACGAGATGTCAATATTATTAATATTGTAATTTTACAAATGAGGAAATTGAGGCATCAAAATGTTTAGCCTGCACCCTTAATCAGTATGTTATGCTCAATCTCTGAAATACTATTGTTTTGTATATACTGATAACTACTATTTTATCAGTAGACATTAAACTTTTAAGAGTTCGTTTTACTTGAGATCAGAATTGAGGTCTGTTAGACTACATTTGTTGTCTATTCCTGCATAATAAACTGCCGTACACTTAGTGACTTAGTTCAACCACCATTTTGTTTACCTGCTCACCGTTCTTTTGGTTGGTGATTTGTGCTCAGCTCAGCTGGATATCTGGCTGGGCTGGGCTAAGTTCTCCTGTTCTTGGTTGGCCTCTCTCCAGGGTCCTGTTTATAGGTAAAGAGTATCTAACCGAGCCTCAGGCTCCTAATTCACACAGCATCATTTCTGTTGCATTTTATTGGTTAAGTCACAAGGTTAGACTAGATTCAAAGGGTGGGCAGTAGAGTTCACCTTTTGATAGGAGTGTTTCTGCGAAACACTTTCTAATCATTTTTTAATCTGCCATATAAACAAAATAATGGAAAACCCCTGTTTGATACTGATTAAGATGAATAGTTTGAAGTTTGACCTTTGTTAGGGAATAAAAAAGGTTAACATTTGATTGTCAGGACATTGTTAAAAGATTCAATAATATAACAAAAATAAATCAACTTTGGTATAATTCTTAACTAAAATTTTTTAAATACCCTTTTAAAAGTTAAACTGATCTTGTTTTTAGAAAATCTGAACCATTCAATAAATTAAAATGAAGACAAAATTAAAATGAGGACATAGTTTTGATTTATTCCTAAAATATAAGGTCACTTGTGAAAAAGTAACCAAATACAGTTTTCTAATCCTCAAAATTAATAAGGGACAATTTTTTAAAGTTTGCAAACAATACCATATAGTAGTCAGCCTATTTTTAAATACTGTATTCAACCTGTTTAATCTGGTCAAATTATATACTAAGAATAATTCGTGTCAAATACAGTAGGTGGCACTGTGATAAAACTTTTGTTTCTGTAAAGCGTTACTCTCAGGCTTCAATTGTCTGTCCTCTTCTACCTGTGTTGTTGCTAAAAAAAAAAAAAAAAAAAAAAGATGTTTCTAAAGAAGATTAGTCTGAATAGAATCTAGCAACTTCATTTAACTTAATACGCATTTATTTACAATGTTTTTTTAAACCACAAAATTAAGTACAGTAATGTTAATGTTCCTTGAACAAAATTCTACCAGTGGTAAAAATGGAGCGTACTATAAGTAGATCCAGAGGCACAGATCTTAATTTCTCAAAATAGTTTCATATGTATTTCAACTTCACAGAAGTTATTCTCAATTTCTCATTCTTAATAACAAGGGTTTTAAATTATTTATTATGTAAGCTGAAATAGCAAAGAAGAAATGCAACGTGAGACTACAAAAGAGTCAATTTTAATATGGTGATTCTGTTGTACTTTCAGTATTTCATGGTGCTCTTAAGTCTTCTTTAAACAGAAATCTCAGTAGAAAAATTAACTATGACTTGGATAGTATGAATAGTTTTTTATCCCTTTGAATAACATTTTGAAAGGAGAGTTTTAGAAAACTTGATTATTGTACATTAAAATCACAAGTTAAGACTGTGTTAAGAGTAGGAACTTGGGTTGTGTAGTGTACTGAAGTGTAATGATGCAAGTATCTTACTACTTCATTTGCATTGATTCTGGTTAGATTGGTGCTTCCCAGTCCTGTGCTTACAGGCTTCCCAGTCATCTGTGAGACATCCTTAAGAAAGTTTCATGGATTCTGATTCAGCAGTCATCACAGTGCTGACCTGGGTAAAATCTTGCTGCCATTCTTAATGGTAGATGTATCATGAAAAGTGACACACCACAGCATATTCAGTCTTCTGAAGTTATCTTTGAATGGCCTTTTGTTTCAGCTTTACTAGGAGGCAGAAATCCTTATTTAAAGTCTATTTAGCATGTTTTTATAAAGTTACATTTTGAAATAGGTAAACATTTAGAAACAGCAACAAAAAGCATAAAATCTTAGAAAGCTATTATAAAAATAGAAATACTAAGTTTTTGTAAGTATGTAGTGGTCATCAAATATGGAAAATATACATTATTTGTGATACTTACTAATAAGCATTGTTTTTCTTCCTTACTATTAAATATTGGGGCTTCCTTCGTATTAAAAAATGGGGCTTATTTGTTATTTTGGTGGTAAAACAGGAAAATTCTAAATGAAATTTATCCAATCATAATGTCTCCTCTCTCCTTGCCCATTTGAGTTCTGACAAATTAGTTAGAATCTAAATTTAGATTGTGATCTCTTATTTATTTAATTTTTGTTTCTCTTTTGAGTTTGTTAGAGTAATGACATTGCTTTTTTACCGTCTGTTTCTGATTGCCACCTAGACTAGCAAAACTACAGTTGATTGTACATACTATTTTCCAGCTGATTACCTGGCTCAGGCATTTGATTCTCTTTGTTTGGACTTGAAGACAGAAGAAGGAAAAACCTTGTTTTTAGAGTATCAAGCTGTTCCAGTAATATTAAGTCATCTAAGAATATCCAGTAAAGGACTCCTGTCTAATGTTATTGATAGTTTGCTCCAGATGACAGTGGAATCTAGTAAGTTTTTAAGTTCTATATGTGTAAAGAAAGCGGGATGATTTTTCTGTCTTCATCTTGTCTGCATGTATAACTCCATATAACAGATACTATTGCATTTTTAAATGCTTTAAAAAAGTATTTTAGGTTCTGGGGTACATATGCTGATCATGTAGGATTGTTGCATAGGTACATACTTGGCAAGGTGGTTTGCTTCCTCCATCCCCCCATCACCTGTAACTGGCATTTCTCCTCAAGTTGTCCCTCCCAGCCTCCCCACCTGCCGCTGTCCCTCCCTTTGCCATCCCCCCACACCAAGCCCAGTGTGTAATGCTCCCCTCCCTGTGTCCATGTGTTCTCATTGTTCAACACCCACCTATGAGTGAGAACATGCAGTGTTTGGTTTTCTGTTTTTGTGTCAGTTTGCTGAGAATGATGGTTTCCAGATTCATCCATGTCCCTAAAAATGACATGAACTCATCCTTTTTTATGGCTGCATAGTATTCCATGGTATATATGTGCCACATTTTCTTTGTCCAGTCTATCATTGATGGGCATTTGGGTTGGTTCCAGATCTTTGCTATTGTAAGCAGTGCTGCAGTGAATATAACATGTGCATGTGTCTTTATAATAGAGCTATTTATAATCCTTTGGGTATATACCCAGTAATGGGATCGCTGGGTTAAATGGAATTTCTATTTCTAGATCCTTGAGGAGTTGCCACACTGACTTTCACAATGGTTGAACTAATTTACACTCCCACCAACAGTGTATAAGTGTTCCATTTTCTCCACATCCTCTTCAGCATCTGTTGTCTCCAGATTTTTTAATGATAGCCATTCTGTCTGGAATGAGGAGGTATCTCAGTGTGGTTTTGATTTGCATTTCCCTGATGACCAGTGATGATGAGCATTTTTTCATGTTTGTTGGCTTCATAAATGTCTTCTTTTGAAAAGAGTCTGTTCATATCCTTCGCCCACTTTTGAATGGGTTGGTTTGTTTGTTTCTTGTAAATCTGCTTTAGTTCTTTTTAGATTCTGGATATTAGGCCTTTGTCAGATGCGTAGATTGCAAAGATTTTTTCCCATTCTATTGGTTACCTGTTCACTCTAATGATTGTTTCTTTGGCTGTGCAGAAACTCTTAAGTTTAATTAGATCCCATTTGTCTATTTTGGCTTTTTTTGCCATTGCTTTTGGTGTTTGAGTCATGAAATCCTTGTCTATGCCTATGTACTGAATGGTTTTGCCTAGTTTTTCTTCTAGGGTTTTTATTGTGTTAGGTTTTATGTTTAAATCTTTAATCCATCTAGAGTTAATTTTAGTGTAAGGTGTCAGGAAAGGGGTCTAGTTTCAGCTTTGTGCAGACGGCTAGCCAGTTTTCCCAGCACCATTTATTAAACAGGGAATCTTTCTCCATTGCTTGTTTTTGTCAGGTTTGTTGAAGATCAGATGGTTTTTGATGCTATTTAATCGAGTCATTAATAACATCACTAAGAATTAAAAATCAAATTCTTTGTTTAGATTTTCACTAACTTAGCAGTTTCCAGTAATCTGTTATGTGGGTACACTGCAAACATTACTCACATATTGAAGCCACTTTTTCTGTTCTCTTTTGTTCCAGCATTCCAACATATCTAATTGTATATTTCCCGTTTGCTCAGAATGAGTGAGATCATCAAATACATCTTCACCTAAAGTGAAAATAATGACCCAAACATATTCCTGTTGTTGTCTCTTCACCTGTACTCTTGTATTGGGGCGGGGGGGAATTGGGGATGGGGCACTTTGGCTGTGTATGTGGCTACTCTGTTTAATTCCTATTTATAATGTTTTGTAGTTTGTGGGTTGTTTTCCCTTTTGATTTTTATATTGATAAATCAGATTATTTAAACTTGCTATTAATGATTTCTAGTTGGGCAAAAATATGTATAGGGATGCTAAACATCAGTGTTTTAGTTTGCTTCTATTGGCATTGCTCTTTGAACCTCATGCAGTCTCTTGATTCATAACAAGTAGACATTTTGCTTAAATAATTCTTTTTCATTGTTGCCTTCTTCCCCCTTCCCTCTACAGCACTCCTAAAAATGTCCCTTCCAGAGGTGGAAGTTGAAAGTGAAAGCCATTGCTCTGCATGATAGTAAGCAGCCTGTGGACTTGGTGGCTGCCTTTGGGCAACTCCCTCCCTAATGTTTGGGTAGAAAGTGTCGTTATGCTTCCTAACTAGGTGCATTCAGTGTATGGTTTCACATTTTAAGTTAACTTTTATACATGGTGGTGTTTTTCATTCACAGAATCCCTGTGAAGGAGGCCTGGGGAAACTGAGGCTTAGAAAAACTAGGCAACTTCTCCAGGGATTCCACAGCTAAATACAGGTAGAGCTGGGACTTAAAGCCCAACCACTGACTGTAGACATAAGGCTTATTCATTCTACCAAAGCACTATAACTAGGTTTTCCAGGTTTGTTTTCTTCTCCTGTCCCAAATGTCTTATACTGTCTGATATATTTTATCAACATTTTTAGCTATTTGTAACTGTTAAAATATTGGACTTATAGTTGATGACTAGCTACCTAGATTAGTAATCTTGGAGTTTTGTATTTTGGTTTACTAATGTAAGGAGTAGAATGGGAAGTGAAAAGTTAGTGAACTGAGGCTTCTAGTATTCCTTAAGTGGCTAGATTCTCAACTTGTTTCACAGGAATTTTTCTTTTAATGAGAAAAAAAAATCATACCAGATACAGAAAACAAACCTTTCTGAATATGTCTAACAGAGATTACATCTTTCTTGTTGTCAGAGGAAAACAATATAATTTTATGAAATAGTTGACCTGCTTAGGTGAAATGACATTGTGGCACTGTAAATCCAAATTTAAAAAAATTATCTTAGATGAGATAGTCAACAGTCATTCACATTTGTTTACCATTGTTCAAATTACTCTCAAATTCAGCCAGGTGTGGTGGCTCACGCCTGTAATCCCAGGAATTTGGGAGGCTGAAGCAGGCGGATCACTTGAGGTCAGGAGTTTAAGACTGGCCTGGCCAACATGGTGAAACCCTGTATCTACTAAAAATATAAAAATTAGCCAGGCAGAATCGTTTGAACCCAGGAGGTGGAAGTTGCAGTGAGCCAAGATCGTGTCACTGCACTCCAGCCTGGGTGACAGAGTAAGACTCCATCTCAAACAAACAAACAAACAAACAAACAAAAAATCCACAAAAGACAAAACACCAATGCTGTGCCTTTCTTGTTCAAATCAAGTTAATGAGCAGTATCTAATGCTGATCACTACCAAAGCCTTATTGTTTTTAGTGATGCAAAAATTTTGCAAGTTTGGAAATGGGTGAATCTTTGATGATGTCTGACTGAAGAGCATTTACTTGCTTGATGAGTTACCCATTTTTAATGTAAATTCAGTACTTCTTGGTCAACCAGTACAGTTTATTGGAGGGAAAAATGATTGATCAAAGTGAAGCAAATACTTCTTTAGCTGTTGGTTTTTTGTTTTCCTAGGTTTGATTTTGTGTGTGTGGCTGTTGTTAACAGGATTGTGCTCTTGATTTGCTTTTCAGCTTGAATTTTATTGGTTTATAGAAATGCTTCTGATTTTTTTTCTTAAATGTGTTGTTTTAATGCAAACTCCTGATTTTTGTACTTTGAATTTCTAACTTTAAACTTTGCTGAAGTCATGTTTCAGGTCTGGGAGTCTTTTGGCAGGATCTTTAGGGTTTTCTAGGTGTAGAATCCTATTGTCAGTGAGGAGAGATAACTTGACTTCCTCTTTGGATGCCTTTTATTTCTTTCTCTTGGCTGATTGCTCTTGCTAGGACTTTAGTACTGTGTTGAATAGGAGTGGCGAAAGTGGACCACCCTGTTTTGTTCTAGATTTTAGGGGAAACCCTTTCAACTTTTCTCCATTAAGTATAATATTGACTGTAGTTTTGTCTTCAATGCCTAGTTTGCTGAGGGTTTTTATCCTAAAAAGATGTTAGATTTTATCTAATGTTTTTTCTGCATCTATTGATATGATCATATGGTTTTTGTTTTAAATTCTCTTTTTACATTTATTGATTTGCATATATTGAATCACCCTTGCATCTGAGGAATGAAGCCCACTTGATCGTGGTGGATTACCTTTTTGATGTGCTACTGTGTTCCATTTGCCAGTATTTTGTTGAGGATTTTTGCATCTGTGTTCATCAGGGATATTGGCCTGTAGTTTTCAACTTTTGTTGTGTCTTTGCCAGATTTTGGTATCAGGATGATACTGGTTTTGTGGAATCAGTTAGGGAGGAGTCCCTCCTCTTTGATATTTTGGAATAGTTTCAGTAGAATTGGTATCAGCTCTTCTTTGTTCATCTGTTAGAATTTGGCTGTGAATCCATCTAGTCAAGGACTTTTTTTTTTAGTTGGTAAGGTTTTTATTACTGATTCAATTTTGGAACTCAATACTGTTCTCTTCAGGGTTTCAATTTCTTTCTGATTCAATCTTTGGAGGCTGTATGTTTCTGGGTAATTACTAATCTAGTTAGTGGTTTATTGATCTTGTTTATCCTTTCAAAGAACCATTTTTTTCATTTCGTCAATCCTTGTATAGTTCTTTTAGTCTCAACTTCATTTAGTTCTGCTCTGATTTTTATTATTTCTTCAGCTAGTTTTGGTGTTTAATTTGTTCTTGTTTTTCTAGTTCCTTTAGGTGTGACATTAGGTTGTTATTTGAGATTTTTCTTTTTCATGTAGGCATCTAGCACTATAAACTTTCTTCTTAACACTGTTTTTGCTGCATCCTAGAGGTTTTGGTATGTTATATCTTGATTTTCATTGTTTCAAATATTTTTTTTATTTCTGCCTTAGTTTTGTTCTTTACCCAAAAGTCATTCGGGAGCAAGTTCTTTAGTTTTCATGTATTTGTTTGTTTTTGAGAGTTCCTCTTTGTATTCATTTCTATTTTTCTTCCACTATGACCCAAGAGGATTCTTGGTATATTTCAAGTTTTTTTTTTTTAATTTGTTGAGACTTGCTT